TTTTTTTTTAATGTGAAGAAGCAAAAAAAAAAAAAAAAGTCAAATGCTTTGGTTTTTAGTTCTGGTCCCCTTTAGTTTTGTGGGTGAAAAACATTAGAAAATACTGGCATATAAATAGAAAAACTGATTTTTCTCACTAAATTGTAGCTGGTCTAGTGATACACAAGGTCTCTTTTCATCTCTAAATTTATCAATGATTGGAAACCAGTAGGGGGCATTGTGGTGCTTTACACATAGAATAAAAAAAATAAAAGATTTAATCAGACAGCTTTTCTCTGCAAAGGTTCTGTAGGTGTTTATTGCATGTTACTCTAAGTGTTTTAATCCATCACCATTTCAGTGCACGGAAAGGCTAATACAGCAGCGCTCAAAAGTTCATTTTTCCAGCCATCTGTGTTCCTGTCTGTTGTGCAATACTTGTATTTCTAGAGTAGATTTGGTTGGTGTAAAATGAGGTCATCTAGCTTATTTGCTAAACTGCCACTTCAATATTAAAGACTGGACACTCTTTAAACAAATCTAATTATCAGACTTGTAGATACCTGGCTTGTAATTCATTTGCAAGATATGTGAGTGGAACAATGGAGTATGTGAAAGTTCACTTAGGGAGGCTGGAATGATAAAAATACACTTCCAGGCAAGGTAGAATTAAAATATTGATTTTAATCTTATTATGCATTTGTGCACTTCAGTTATTTTTCTAAGGAAAGGTTGATTCTTAGTTGTTGATAACTATTAAAACATGTTTTTATTAAAACATGCTAAATTTTGTACTTTTGTTCTAACCAGGAGGATACACGGTATCAGTACACTTATTAAAATGAGTATATTGCTTAATACACATTGATTTGGCTGCTTAATTTTTATGTTTGAAAATGGTGAATGATTCATTTTTCTTACTAGATTGTTTTTTTTTTTTTAGCTTGGTATTTGTGCCAATTTGGATGCAAGTTGGAATTCAATTAAAATGCACCAAACCTGGAAAACCAGCATTTTTAAAATGACCGTAAACACATTTCCCCAGTACATTTATCAAAACATGTTTTGCATTTAAAACTTTCTCATTTATTAAAGAAAGGAAGTATTCTCAATAGTTAGTGAATTGAAATGATTGTTTTTGGTCACCATGGCGTACAAGATTTTAGGACTATTAGCTAAGCCTGTCATCTTTTTATTTATAGATTGGAGGAGGACAACAAGCTTTCCTGCTTTTTCACCTCCCAGTTGGTTTCTCAGCTTTGAATAAATTAGTTATTGAACTGAACTAGTCGAATAAACTGAAATGAAATGAAGAAAATATTCTCTCTGCACCTGTAGAAGAGGCAACTGCTCTCAGGACTGGTTTTGGCCTTTAATAGGGGCTGTCAAGCGATTAAAAAAATTAATCGCGATTAATCATGTGATTAATCAATAATAGAATACCATTTATTTAAATATTTTTGTATGTTTTCTACATTTTCAATTACAACACAGAATACAAAGTGTACAGTGCTCAGTTTATTTTTGATTACAAATATTTGCACCGTATAAAACAAAAGAAATAGTATTTTTCATTTTCACTATTGCAACTATTGTAGTGCAATCTCTTTATCATGAGAGCTGAATTTACAAATGTAGAATTTTGTTGAAAAAAATCCTGTAAAACTTTAGAGCCTACAAGTCCACTCCGTCCTACTTCTTGTTCAGCCAATCACTCAGACAAAGAAGTTTGTTATATTTGCAGGAGATAATGCTGCCCGCTTCTTGTTTACAATGTCACCTGAAAGTGAGAACAGGCGTTCTCATGGCACTGTTGTAGCCAGCGTCACAAGATATTTACATGCCAAATGCCCCAAAGGTTCATATGTCCCTTCATGCTTCAACCACAATTCAAGAGGACATGTGTCCATGCTGATGACGGGTTCTGCTCGATAACAATCCAAAGCAGAGCAGACCGACGCATATTCATTTTCATCATCTGAGTCAGATGCCACCAAGCAGAAGGTTGATTTTCTTTTTCGGTGGTTCGGGTTCTGTAGTTTCCGCATTGGAGTGTTGCTCTTTTAAGACTTCTGAAAGCATGCTCCACGCCTCGTCCCTCTCAGATTTTGGAAGGCACTTCAGATTCTTAAACCTTGGGTCGAGTGCTGTAGCTATCTTTAGAAATCTCACATTGATACCTTCTTTGTGTTTTATCAGATCTGCAGTGAAAGTGTTCTTAAAACAAACAACATGTGCTGGGTCATCATTTGAGACTGCTATAACACGAAATATATGGTGGAATGCGGGTAAAACAGAGCAGGAAACATACAATTCTCCCCCAAAGAGTTCAATCATAAATTTAATTAACTCATTTTTTTTAACAAGCGTCATCAGCATAGAAGCATGTCCTCTGGAATGGTGGCTGATGCATGAAGGGGCATAAGAATGTTTAGCATGTCTGGCATGTAAATACCTTGCAATGCCAGCTGCAAAAGTGCCATCCGAACACCTGTTATCACTTTCAGGTGACATAAATAATAAGGAGGAAGCATTATGTCCCGTAAATGTAAACAAACTTGTTTGTCTTAGTGATTGGCTGAACAAGAAGTAGGACTAAGTGGACTTGTAGGCTCTAAAGTTTTACACTGTTTTGTTTTTGAGTGCAGTTATGTAGCAAAAATCTGCATTTGTAAGTTGCATTTTCATGATAGAGATTGCACTACAGTACTTGTGAGTGCAAATGTTAGTAATAAAAATGTGGGCACTATACACTTTATATTTCATGTTGTAATTGAAATCAATATATTTGAAAATGTTAAAAAAAAATCCAAAAATATTTAATAAATTTCACTTGGTATTCTATCTCTTAACAGTGCGATTAAAACTGTGATTAATTTTTTTGAGTTAATCGCGTGAGTTAACAGCAATTAATCAACAGCCCTAGTCTTTAACAAACTCGGTAGTTCCGGGTGCTTAGCCAGTGACTGCCACCAGTTCAGTGGTTTGACTTTCTTTAAAACTTCAGCAGCAAACTTGTACTGCTTGAATATTGTTTTTAATTTAAATTACATCTCTACCCCCATATAACGCTGTCCTCAGGAGCCAAAAAATCTTACCGCGTTCTAGGTGAAACCGCGTTATATCGAACTTGCTTTGATCCGCCGGAGTGCGCAGCCCCACCCTCCCGGAGCACTGCTTTACCGCGTTATATTCGAATTCATGCTGTATCGGGTCGCGTTGTATTGGAGTAGAGGTGTATTTTGATAGACTAATCATTTCAAATTTAACCTAAACCACATCACTATCCAGTCTAGGGTTTTCCTTCCCTGTAGCTGTAACTAACGTGATGACCTATCTGATCAGTGTTTCAGTGCTAGTAACCACAAAGTAAAGTGAGTGTTCACCTCCTTGATGTCATTGGTCTGCCATGTCAATAAGCACAAGTCTCTTTCACTTCAGGAAAATATAAAAGCTGTCATTAAAATTAGATAATTGTTAGCAACTAGGGGTTGACCGTCACTGTTGACAAACAGGAAAACAAGCATTTGTTCTCTTGTCATAAGTGCTCATCTTTGTGGAATTAAGCATTTTGGCAGCAGAGTCTGTCCCTTCATTACCCTTTTTTCTTTATTATCCAGTGAGTGAGGGAATGTTAACCATTCCAGTGTGGTTTGTTTATGCAGGGATTACCTTTCCTGTTTTCACTACTTAGTATAACCCGCCAAATTGTCAGTTTGTTTAAAAAAAGAAAAAATGGGTGGTAAGGGAAATAAGATTTATTCCAGTGATAGGCAGAGGCTTTATTCATCAAATGTCATGAAACAAGAAGGGACTGTTATAACTAACAAAAATTACCCTACCAATCTTCATGTTCTCGTTTGGCAGTAAAACTGTAATTAGAAAATCTCTCCCGTATTCCTGAATTGTGTAATGATGTCAACGTGCTGCCTGATTATTTGACCAGTTACAAAACCCAGTGCCATGTAAATGTAAATCCTCTGTGCTTATCATGCTATGTAAATCTTGATGTTGGGCCCATTTTTTTCTGACTCAGCACAGCTCAGATTGATCATCTATTTTTTCGCAAGGAGTAGAGAAGCTTAGTGAATTTGTATTGTTTTGTCATTAGGACAGTGACTCCTCCTGACCCTTAAATCAAGATGGGATGGCTTTCTACATGAGATGCTCTAGTTCAACCAGAAGTTATTGGGCTTGATGCAGGAATTACTAGGTGAAATTCTGTGGCCTGTGTTCTTTAGACTAGCTGATTATAAAGGTTCCTTCTAGCATTAAAAATCTGGCCCAAATACTTGCAACAAAACTAACAGTCATCCTCTCCATTTCCTGCCTTTAATTAAATCTTCTTGGAGGCTTTTATAATTCCTAGCCATCCTTTAGTTGAGCTGCTGGTCTTTTTCTGCCTTTCCTCTCTTCAACATGTGTTGTACTATAGAAGCTGCTACATTAGTCACACTCTATCATAGCCCTAAAACATCAGACGCTTTTAAAAGGCACTCCTCAATGTGATTACTTTCCAGAGGCACTTGGACGATTACTTTGCTTCAAAAGCTGCTTCATTGTGCTTGACTTAAACAGTAAAATATTCTCTTGTGTAACAGGTGCCAGGGTTGGTCACCGTTCTTTGATGAGGTACTACAAGCAGCGGTTTGGTTTGTCAAGAGCAGTGGCTGTTGCTAAAAATAAGAAGGCAGTGGGCAGGGTGTTGCAACAGTACAAAGCTCTGGGCTGGACAAGCAGTACAGGTAGGTGACAAACTTAAGTTCTTTAAACTCTCTTTTGAGCCTGTATTCTTGGAGAGGGGTGGGTGTCAGAGCCTGGTTTCCAGCCCAGCTCAACCATCTACTCTGCTATTTTTAGTGCTGCACATGAGCCTGAGTCTGTCATCCCAGGCTCTGAGACTTGCTGCCGTTCCCTGTGTAGGCACACCTTTAGAGCAGTCTCCTTATACTAGCATTTACATGATTGAATTCTGTCCATATAGCTACTGCTAGGTGCTGTCAGATTTGGTGCTTCACTTCCTAGCAAAGAGCAATATCACTTTTGCAAGGAGAAACTAAACTTCTGATAGGGGAAGAGGGAGAAGAGCATCACTGCTCTGTGGTAAAAGCTTGGACCTTGTCTCCTGCACAGTATCTGACTTTTGGGTGTCCTTTTCATTTCTGGCACATAAGCACAATACAGTGTAGAAATTTGCCATTCCAGCCCTGCTTTTTGAGAAGGCAACCCCTGCATATACACAAATTAATTGTAGTCACACTGCTTCTTATAGCAAAAGTGCATTTGTGTACAAGCCTGAAACTTTCCAATCATAGTTGGGTGATGTGAAGTTTTGAGGGATGAATCTAGGCTAATGTACAAAATAAATAAAGGTGAGGCTGGCTTTTCAGAACGAGAAGTTGCATAGCCTGTTCCTGCCTGCTAAATTCAAATCCTGTTTTTAGTTATTTGTGCTATTATACTTCTCTTCGCTCCTGCACTACTGCAGCTATATGTATTGCACTGTAACTGTGTAGTTCAAATATTTTGTCTGAACAGTGCTATGCCCAAGCCTGTTAGTGTAAAGTATTGCAGAATACTTCAGAGGATTAATCTAGAATTGAATTCTAAACATTATTTTGATACTCAGATAGGAACATAAATGTTGTATTGACCACAAAGTAAGGCTGTTACCCTGAATGTGTCAAGTTTTAAGGTTAATAGTTTCTTTGCCAGAGGTGGCTGACGGTAATTAAAATTACCTGTCCATTTGTGTGTCACTCCTTCCTTCAGTTGTCAATGCTAGCATCTTCTGTTCTTGCCATTTAATATGGTAATACATGACCCCAGCATAAACTGTTCTTTGACAGTCCCAGCCAAAACCATTCAGGTTTTGGATACTTGCAGTGAATGATCTCTAGATGAAGAATTATTTGCAGAAGTTATTTGGCAAATAACTTTTTTTTAAATTTTTTAAAAAGAAAATTAAGATTTGTTTGAATAATTTGAAGTGTGTGTGTGTGTGTGTGTGTGTGTGCGCGCAATTAATTTAGGTCTGTTTCAGATCTGTAGCCATTCAGAAACACTCTTTCCCCCCCCCCCCCCTCACCTCCCCCAATAATTACTTAGACCTTGATCCTCGCATGAGCTCAGAGCAAGCAAACCCTTGTCCACATGTAGAGCTCATTGCAGGATTAAACCACTTAGGTTTTCCTGGGGAAGTTACAGATGATTAAGGGAAGGTGTGAATTTAAAGTGATGGGTATACAGGTTATACCTGTTGGACACTCTTATTCCAGCATGAGGCCTCTTTTCAGCTTAGTTTACATTGCTTGGGAAGAAGGTAAAGCTAAAATGAAAACAGCCACTCTTACTGCAGAATAAGTGTCTACCCAGAAGTTTAGACATAGGTAACTATATTGCTACAACTAGACTGGTGTAATTGGAGGCAAGGCCTTATACTTTAAATCAGTCTTGTAAGCTACTAACTTTTCACCCTTTTCTCCTTTACAAAAGGAGCAGCCCTAGCACGTGAACGTGACATGCAGTATCTACAGAGGATGAAGTCTAAGTGGATGCTGAAGACGGGAATGAGTAACAATGCTACAAAGCAGATGCATTTCCGGATGCAAGTCAGATTCTGAGCTGCCACAACTGCTCTACAGAGCTTGTTCCAGGAGAGGAGAATTAATAGCTAGTATCTTTTTTGAGGGGTGGGGTGGGGAGGGAATGTCATTAAAATGGATCCTGGTACCTAGCCAAGGACTGTCTGGATGCTACTATTCCCCCTCCGCCTAAGTCTTGTTAAGAGATCTTGTATTCTAATAACTGTTGGCTTATCAAATTTAAGTGTCCAAATAAAGTATGTGGTATAGGTTAGTCACTGGTGTAGATATGTGCATTCTACTAGTGTCCATCTTTATGCAGTAGGTTTTGGTTGAACGGCTGACTTGATGTTGTAATTGAATTACAGAAAACTGGGGGGTGGCTAAGAGAAGATTATAGGCCTGTGCTTCAGCCCTTCTGGCTTAGGGTAGATGATTTTTCTTTTGTATGAAGTAGGAGCGAGCACTTTACCAAAGTTATACACTTTCTTTATATCAAACAATCTTGTAAGAGGCACTTTAGACAGGAGTGTTAAAATCCTTCAGTGGGTGAATTAAGGAGAGCTTTTCAAAATGAGCACATTGCCAGCACATGACGAGTGATGGGCATCTATTCAGTTGTGTTCAGTTTATGTAGAACTTTCCATGCTAGTTGTTTGAAGTAACACTTGACCTAAAAGGAAATGGTTATTTTTTGTTCTGAAACCATAGTTTCAGTTAATAGTTTCTATCCTGTCAAACTCAGTGTGCCATGCTCTGCTCATTTTCTAGGAGACAGTTGGATTTACTAAAAATATCACAAGGTGTCTGTTTGGATTTAACTTCAATGTAATGTTTTGAATAGTTTATTAAAATTAAAGCATCCGTTTAAGGTATTTTTACCAGCGCCACTCCCATTATGAATTGTTAAATTTACTCATTACTGATGAGAGTTGAAAAGTTAAGGTGGTCACCATTGCACTTTTGTGTAGAGAGGCATTTTTACATTCTTTATACGACACATCAACCACACAATCTTCTCTAGAAATGCAGCATGCTAAACTAGGGTCTGTCTGACACAGCTGTCTAAGAAACCCTCTGTTGCATAATTTAGGGTCTGACTTGCATCAGTCAGAAATTAAATATGCTGTTACCTTTGTCATCTCACAGTTGCAGTAGAGTATGAAAAGTGCAGAAATATGAACATGTCACATGGTGCACACCACTGCTACGTGACTGACTATGAGATGTGGCTAAGAACCAGTCTTTTCTCCCACGATTATCCCAGCTACTACTACATTACTTTGACAAATGGAATGCAAGTTTTAACACTGTTCCATGAGATTATGTCTGTAACAAAGATTTGATCTCCTTCAGCTCTAGCTGTACATACACAGTAGTCCCAAGAAACATGAAAGAAGGTTCAGTTAGGTTTATGAAAAATCTGAATTTCATCATTAGGATTGATACATTAATAATCCTTACCTTCCCAATAAGCCACTAATGTAAATTTCACTGACAATTAATCAGTGATATCCATCTCATGTTTTTAGAAAAACTACATGAATAGTACTCCACCTTACTATAATTTTTGCTTAAGAAAGCTCGCCTACACCTTAATAAGCCAGGACCGATGTCACCATTTTCAAAATGTTGCTTGTAATGGGAATGTGTCAGAAGCACCAGACCTCATGTAATTAGGCCCATGGCACTAGTGGTGCTCAGAAGCTCTTTAAATAATCAGCAAGAGCAGAAGGGTCCTTTTGGCAATCACAATAAAAACAAACAACATTTGACAGTGTTCCTTTTATCATCCTAGGGGGAGCATTTTACACTGCTGTCTCACCTATTTTTTAGTCTAACAGCACTGCTTGGGTTACTCTCCAGCTTTAGGTTATCTTCCTAACCATAAGGGAATTCAGAGTCTCAGTTGTGACTACATGGGACCCTGACCAAGTCTAGGAAAAAGGTGCAAGCTAATGCAGACTTGAGCCTGATTTTAACTTACACCTTCGTACATGCTGTATGGATTGCCCTCTAACCCATTGTCAAGTAGCATGCAAGTTATGCAGGAGTGAGAATCTAAATTGCCATAACACATGCTATACTACATATCTTTGTAGAATAAATTCAAACTATTAAGACTCTCTCTTTCTCTGGGTTGCTGAGAAGGGCAGCGCAGATGAATATGGTGATCACAACTATTCCCACCTCTTGCATAACCCAAGATCTGCCACTGGTAATTTCTGCCTCACACCCATAAACTTGTGCTTGAACTACAGCATTACTCTGGGAAAGATAATCCTTAAATCTAGAGTGGCTAAGTGATGGAGAATCCACTACATCTTTAGGCAAACTGGTCCAATGGTTGCTGCATTTCAAAACTAACTGTAACCACTCAGGGAAAAGACCTGTTTATCAGTGTGAACAATTCAATGTAAACCTCTGCTCAATGCACCGCAGTGGCCTCAACGCAATGCAAGTATTAGGCGGTATAAAGAATGGTATAGAAAATACTATAGCTCGAATGCTATTACATATGTCAAAGACTAACATCCCCAACTGGAACAGCGTGTTATAGTTGGATGACCCTGTCTCAAAAAGGGACATAGCATTAATAGTAGGGCTTGCGAGACAGGTAACAAGATCGAAAAGTTATGGAAACTTCCACAGCAAGGAGCTGGGGACTGTTTAGTTTATATGGAAAATAAGTAATAAGAGGTCACAACCAAAATATAAAAGTAGAGAATGGTATTGAGAACATATGAATCTGACAGTTATTCCTCTTTACTATTGATAATAATGAAGTTGCAAGATATTAACTGAAACAGAAAGGCAGCAAATATAAAAAACTGTATATTTAACAACTATCCCCTTTATCTAACACTGCATAATTGGCCCAGGTAACTGGATTTCCATAAGATATCACTAAGGGCAAGAACTGAGCAGGATTTTAAAAAGGTTTAGCCGACCAATGAGAACATCTACTCTGTGTCTGTGTTAACTAGGGTGACCAGATGGTCCGATAGTAGGGGATTTATCTGAGAGATGCAACTATCCCCCTTCCTCTCTGCTAAAAGGTGTCCTGATTTTCCACACTTGCCCTCTGGTCACCCTAGTGTTAACTTTTTTGCTACAAGTAAACCACACCAAAGTAAATAGAAGAACAGGAGTACTTGTAGCACCTTAGAGACTAACAAATTTATTAGAGCATAAGCTTTCGTGGACTACAGCCCACGTGGGCTGTAGTCCACGAAAGCTTATGCTCTAATAATTTGT